GGTTAATGGAGATTAGCTAGTGTTTTGCTATCATGAGCTAACTTAAGATGCGTATATATATATATATATATATAAAATTAGGTAGGTAAAAGAGCCATAGAGGCCAAGATCTACAAGAGTAGATCTGATCCAAGGTGCAAACTATGCAAAGATGCCCCTGAGACAGTCCAGCACATAGTAGCAGGGTGTAAGATGCATGGCTGGAATAGTGTACAGGAACATCTGTACCCAGTATGGAATAGAAGTACCCAAATCCCAATGGGCCGCACCACAGAAGGTGGCTGAGAACAACAGGGCCAAGGTGCTGTGGGACTTCAGCTTCCAGACTGACAAACAGGTCCTGGCCAACCAACCAGACATAGTGGTGGTAGACAAGGAGCAGAAGAAAGCGGTGGTGATAGATGTGGCCATACCAGCAGACGCCAACATCAGAAAGAAGGAATACGAAAAGGTTGAAAAGTACCAAGGGTTGAAAGAACAGCTGGAACATCCAAGGAATAATATCAGAAGCCTCAGTCCAGAAGAGCGCAGTCCTAGGAACAGCTAAGATACTGCGCAGAACCCTCAAACTCCCAGGCCTCTGGTAGAGGACCCGAGCTTGAGGATGACACAGATACCACCCCAAGAGGGTGAGAGTGTTTTTTTTTAATATATATAAAACAAGCAAAACAAATACAACCTATAATGCCATAGACTTAAGATGTGACTACATATATATATATATATATGTAGTCACATCTTAAGTCTATATATATAGAAAGTTGAGGTTCTGACTGAGATCCGTCCTTAGGGACATAGTAAGGGTCAACAGTGTGTAGGATTTTAGTGGTTACACTAGAGTTACATTTTTTACTATTTGGGTGGAGTTCATTTTACTCCCTTTAAGTGTAAAATCTACACTGAAAAAAATGTAAATATTAATTATAACAATTAACTACAATAATCTCAATAATTTTCAAAAATAACATTTATTTTTGCCTTTTCATGTGTAAAACAATGCACAATCTTATCGTCATATAAATCATACAAATTAAAGGCAAAATGTGCTTTGAAATGTTCATCAAATGGCTTGAGGGAGTGGTTTTCCTGGCATGAAATGAGATGCTTATCCATGACACGTGATGTAGAAGCTGTCGATCCAGTTCTTCTGACACCCAACCACGAGGAGGTATGGTCGTTGATCCTGCTGGTTGCGGATATGATCCTCCAAACTGTAGCATGACTCAGGTTGAGATAAGGAAAACTATATTATTGACTTGATTACTCAAACATCACCCTGGCTAGTGTGAGAAAGGAAAGCCTATGAAGACAATTTTATTCACTTTAACAATCCTAATTTACACACGTGGCTAAGAAAGTGATGTGACAAATTATTATAATCATCTTAATAGTTTTTGGAGACTTTGGTCCCCCAGGTGGTGGTGAAAGAAGATGTATCAGCAACAACAAGGACGCAATTTCTTGTAGGCTGAGGACAAAAAATAATCTCAAAACTCTTCAAATTAATGAGAACAAAGAGGCATTATGAGTCCATCTATTGCTCATATTCATTAAAACAATCAGATCAACTTTCAGAGACATACAGAATAAACCAACTACCACTACAAGAATTACTTTCAAATTTCAAGTAATTCTAAACATTTAATTCCAAACTTACCAATCTTTTGGTATCCAGGAATCTTGAGAAGGTGGAGAGGATATCAACATTTCTACCTGGGTCATTAACAAGCTTCTGAAAGGTCTCTAACCTCTTCTGCAGAATCTGGGAAAAAGAGCAATAAAACATTAAGTCCAGGTCACACAGACAACCAGATACAACACACTGTGACACGTTTTTGTGGCCCCTGTGGCCCCTCACTGTATGTTAAACAGTGGTGAAGGCAAAAAAGGGCTAGCAACTAGCTCTAACCTCAAACAAGACTTTATAAAGTAAAAATCAAAGATTTCATTGTTATTGCTTTGAGCTTGCATGGGAATTGTTGTAAAGAATCACTGAAGTTGGAATGGTTTAAGTTAGTGACTAACGGTAAGCTAGCTGCCATAGACTGCTAGCTAAATGTTAGCTAATCATCTGGAAAAAATGCTGTTCAGTCCTGACAACAAACCGGGCTTTGTAAGTAACAAATTCTCTGTGGAAGTTTTATTATACATACTGCAGTTCACAGAATCAATTGTTTCAGTAAGTTTGACCTAATTGCACTTTCTGTGTAGAGCTGCAGGAGTGGAGGGAAATGGTGCCAACTTGTCTCCAACTGAAAAAGTGAAATGCGTTTCTTCTGTGAGCAGAGTTTATTTATTATTTATTTATCTATGCAGAGGTGGGCTAACACCAGAGAGGGTTTGCTAACACTAATATTATCAACTCTGTCGAATAATGCCAACACTGAACAACATTTAAATCAGAAAGTGTTCAAATTACACTTTGGGAGTGAAAATCCTCTCAGAAATGTTTAACCCTGAAATTTCAGCACTCCAAATGTTGCTGTGTATTATAAGAACAGACAGACTAGAAAGGGATGCACTGCCAGTTAGCACAACAACTCAACCCAGGTTTACCTGATTGTTTATCCTGCAATTCACTCTCATGGTGTTTTTTGTCTGTTTTCATGACCAGAAGGATTGTTCATAATGATGCTAATTAAGACCGAAACATACTTACCATCTGAGGATCTCAGGCTTTGACATTCAGTAAAAAAATGTAAATGTCTTCTCTAACTTATTTTGATTTAAATATTTGTTTTCTAAATTATTATTATCAAATGATCATACTTTATATGTAACAAATGCATTTAATATTTATTAGGGACAGAGCCAGCGACCGCTGGAGGTCCCTATTGTTTTTGCTTGATTTCCTGTTATTATTTTTAGCGCCTTTGACTGCGTTTTTGCCCCCCTGAACATATAAGAAAACTCACTTTTATTTGGCAAAGAGGTCAGGCCTGGTGAAAAATTTGATATTCTATGCGTCGCTTTCGGGTCAGCCACTAGGTGGCGCTACTTTCATGAAAAGTGCGTTTAGGCTAATAACTCCCGCATCGTTTGTCGCACATTCAAAAACCTAATATCCACGCGTTTGGTGAATGGAGCTGAATCTTCCTATATAGGCCACGCCTACTTCCGCCTATAATTTTGTCTTCGCTATGTCCATAAACTACTTTTTTGTTTTCCTCCAATGCTCTTTGTCAGATTCGCACTAAATATTTCACATAGCATCTGGAGACCGTCCTAATAAAAAAGTAATTTGAAGAATTTTGATATTTAAAAAAGTACGCACACTATAAAATTAGAACTTCCTGTCGATTTTTCATCAAAAAAGGAAGTGAACTATTTCTCCACATTGGTATGTCCGATTGACACGAAGCTTGGGTACATAGTTCCCCATGTCTTCCTTAGGCATCGTACACAATTTCAGGCCATCACCACAAGGTGGCGCTATTTAAAATGAAGAAGTTTATATCTCATCAGCACTTGTGATTAAAATGAAACTTGTTATGATGCTTGCCCATTGCTCTCTGAGGCTAGCTAATAAATGTGACAACAATCCGCCACTAGGTGGCGCTCTGGTGGCATGGTAAATCACTGTGCGGAGACCATAATAGGTATGAATATGAAATTCACAGGGCACGTGTAGACTGGTGCCTGAAGCTCACATACCAAAAATCGTGTTTGTCATGTTTGTAGCATCACCTACAGGATTTAAAAAAAGCAGCCCCGGCTACACGTTTTACCGATATATATGAAACTTGGTAGGCACGTGAAACGTGCCGAGATCTAGGAAAAAGCCTCCTGGACCCATACCCCAAACCCCAGGGGAAGTCGGCCATTTTGATTTTGATTTTCACTTTCGGCAAACTTTTTGCGTTGTATTTGAACAAACTCCTAGGGAATGCATCGGATCTGCTTCAAAATTGGTCTGTACAGTCAAAGTATGTTGCTGATTAAAAGTTGTGCTATTTGTGCATGTACGTTGAAGGGCGTGTCCGTGGCGTGCCATCAAAGTCAGCCATTTTGAATTTTTTGGTCATTTTCTGTGATTTTTCGTGTTGTATTTGAACTCCTCCTCCTAGGGAATTCATTGGATCTGCTTCAAAATTGGTCTGTACAGTCGAAGTATGATACTAATTGAAAGTTGTGCTATTTGTGCACGTACGTTGAAGGGTGTGTCCTTGGCGTGCCGTCAAAGTTTTGAATTCAGCCATTTTGAATTCTGTGGTCATACAAACTGTAGATGAAAAGTTGTACTATTTGTGACTGTACGTCAAACCACATGCCAGTGACGACTTGTCATATTCAGCAGATTCACCATAAAACAGTACTCATAACTTCAGTGTGCAATGTCCATATATATTCTGTAACAGTCTCGCCCTGAACACTTCCTCATAACTTCAGCGTACGTTGTCGAATCTCAATGAAACTTCATGTGTTTGATAAGAGTCCCGCCCTGAACACGTCTACATGACAATATTCAGACATAGTGATAGCGCCACCTACTGGCAACAGGAAGTAAGCGCTGCATGGTTTTGATTTACATGTAATGTTCATGTTGTGGTCCCCACGTGTTACGACGGCACGTGACGCGGCCGCAGCACGCCCCAAGTTGCGTGGAGTGTGAGGTCCCACCCAACGCTGCTTGCAGCTTTAATTTAATTTATTATTCTTATTCTATTTATCTTCATATCAATTTTATATATATATAAATAAGTAAATGTTCAGAGTATTTCTCCAAGCCCTGGAGCAAAATCAACACAAGTAAGATTGTATTAGATGAACAAGATGAATGTTAGTTACACACATAAAATGAGATGTTGAGCCAAATAAGCAAACCCCATCACCTGGAAATGAATCAACTAATTTGAATCAGCAAGCAGAGATAACAAACTTCTCCTAGCAAACATTTCCTAGACCTGCTACACCTGCCCCTTCAGGTACATCCTTGGGAAACAGTCATCCTTGCATCTACCCATTGTGACTCCCAGCTGACAGGGGTGTGCACAGTTAGTATGGATCAGGCACACACAGAGATGCAGACCAAAGTGGAAAAGAGGGAACAATGGAAGAAGAAAAGGGAATATATTCTGACATCAGCAGGCAACATGGTGGGCCTGGGCAATGTGTGGAGATTCCCCTACCTGTGCTATAAGAATGGAGGAGGTAAGCTGGTACACACTAAGTCATTATACTGTAATATTTGACATAATCACACCTTTCATAGAAATCACTAATGGGGTCTTCACAGGTCCGTGTATGTTTTGGTCATTGGATTTTCCTTTCAGAAACGGGTATTAAAAAACAGAAAATGAGTGGTTATTTGATTTTCGTTTTAAAATACAAAAATTATAATTGAAATACAAGGTGTTTTTCTTTTTCATGGTCAAAAAGGGATGAGCGAAATTTAAAAAATGATTCGATTTTCATTTTCTATTTCATATAACAAAAAATAAAATCACTAGAAAAGAGAAACGGAAAAAAGGCCTGTTTTTTCATATTCTGAGACCGGATGTTGTCATTTACAGGACGGTGCTGTGTAGAAGAAACAGTAGGCTAGTAGACTGCGGTCAATCCAGCCCTGAGTCCGATCTCCGTGGTCAAATCAGCCGCACTTAAATTTAGAGTGTACAAGTATTCTCAGCATTATGGGAAATGCGGAGAAACAGCGTATTTACTTCCGGTTTTCAAAATAAAGGTATTTAGAACAGTAAGCTATAATTAAAATATGTTACATAAAAGTGTTTCATGCGCCCCTGATGAATAAAAAAACACTTTATATCAAGTATCTTTACTGCACCAGTGTGGAGAAATGCCAAAATAAAAGTCTCATATTTATGCCTCCAGAGATTGCATATTTGACCATATTTGAGGTAGTGTAAAAACATATTGCTCAGTGTTTCCTGGCTACTGATGGTATATTTGACTTTTACACATATGAGACTACAAACATACTTAATATCAAGCATTTTTACTGTACCAATTTGGAGAAATTCAACAATAAAAGTCCATATTTGTACCTCCAAGTGGTATTTTCATATATTTGAGCTGCTGTAAAAACACTTTGCTCAATAATTCCTGGCTATGGATGGTATATTTGACTTCTACACATCTAAGATTACAAGCATGCTTAATATCAAGCATTTTTACTGTACCAATGTGGAGAAATTGAAGAATAAAAGTCCCATATTTGTACTTCCAGATTCCATATTTTCTTATATTTGAGCTACTATAAAAATGTAAACTGTATGTGGAACCAACTGCAACAGCTGTCACACTGAATAATCTAAAAAATAATATGTGAGGAAGAGACAGTAGGTAGTAAGTATGGTGTTTTGAAGTTAAAACTAATTATTTTTCCCTTTTACCTACAAATGGACACAGCAGAGATGCAAAATAAGAAGAATGTGGACTGGCATTGCATTTTGTGTGAAAAGTAAACAATAGAGAATTGTGTAGGATTTTGTGTTTAGTGTTTAGTGTTTATATTATCAAGATGTTATTAAACATTTGTGTGAAATTTTGTCATGATTACTGCAGCATTATTGAAGTATAATGAAAATGCTTCACCCATAGCCAGGAAATATTGAGCAATATGTTTTTACAGTAGCTCAAAAATATAAGAAAATATGGAATCTGGAAGTATAAATATGGGACTTTTATTCTTCAATTTCTCCACATTGGTACAGTAAAAATGCTTGCTTTAAGTATACTTGTAGTCTTAGATGGTAGAAGTCAAATATATCATCCATAGCCAGGAATTATTGAGCAAAGTCTTTTTACAGTAGCTCAAATATATGAAAATATGCCACATGGAGGTACAAATATGGACTTTTATTGTTGAATTTCTCCAAATTGATAATAAAAATGCTTGATATTAAGTATGTTTGTAGTCTCATATGTGTAAAAGTCAAATATACCATCAGTAGCCAGGAAACACTGAGCAATAGGCTATGTTTTACAGTAGCTCAAATAAGAAAAACGCCTTGTATTTCAATTTTAATTTTTGTATTTTAAAACGAAAATCAAATAACCACTCGTTTTCTGTTTTTTAATACCCGTTTCTGAAAGGAAAATCCAATGACCAAAACATACACGGACCTTATCCGTTATTTATTTCTATTTATTCAACTAGTGCAGAATAGTTGGAGAAAAACTTCTTTGAGATGATCCAGTCCTCATCTTATTATAAAGCATCATTGGTTTGTTTCTGTGTGTGCAGGCGTCTTCCTGTTGCCTTACTGTTTCTTTGCTGTGCTATGTGGCCTGCCACTCTTCCTGCTGGAGACTGCGATTGGTCAGTACACGCAGGAGGGCCCCACCACCTGCTGGATCCAGCTCTGTCCACTGGCACAGGGTAATCACGTCATTCATTGTTAATAAAGAACATTTCCCAAACTCTGTCAGTCTATATATTTCAAATATGTGTTATGAGCTCTATTGGCACAGAGGAATCAAAGTCAAAAAAGTCAAAGTCAGCTTTAATGTCAATTACTTCACATAAACCAGACATACAAAGGAATCGAGAGGACGTTTCTCACTCTCCCACGGTGAAACAGATAAAGTGCACAGGCACAACAGATAAGATATTTCCTAATACTAAAAGTAAACATTCAATTTCACAACAGATAAGACATTTACTAATGCTAAAAAGATAGACAATAAAATATCAAATATACAATAATGTGCAAAAAGGCAGTTGGTAATGGAAGCAAGAAATTCTGTAAGATAAATATATTAATATATATTATAATATATTAATAAGACATTTGTTGAAATGTGAAAACAAAAGGTCACCAGTTCTTTAAAATTCTGTTTAAAATTTAATTTTAAATTGGCTTCCTGAGGATATGTATACAGGATAATAAAGTAGTCAGGCCGCAAAGTGAAGAAGGGTGTGTATATGCATGGGTTTGGGGCGTGTGTGTGTGTGTGTGGGAAGGGAGGGGTGGGGTGCACTCAATGAACCGAACCAGTTCAAGAAACAGAGCTAATTTGGTGGGAAAACACTATATGAGAAAGTCCAGGATCCAGTTACAAAGGGATTTTTAACTTCAACTTCCAGACCAGCTATTGGAGAATGATTGTGTTTATTGTTAAACTGATATCAATGTTGTTATCCAAGTATGGTATGGCTAGGTAGAGGAAAGAGGAATTGACATTGCCTGTGTCTGTATCAATGCCATTTGAAGTTATCTATCTATCCATATCTCTGGGTGGTCAGCTGTAGTCTGAGATAGTCCAGTTTATTGTCCAGGGAACAGACATCAGCGATGAAAACAGTTGGAAGAGCTGGTCTGCTGGGGTCATCCTGTAGCTTAGCATGAAGACCAGCTCATTTGTCACATTTACATGAACACCTTCGGCGTATCTTTGTTGGAATGGAAGAAGTGGGCAGTGCCATGAGCTTTGCACCATGGTCCGCGTAGGGTAAGACAGCACAGCTTCTTGGTATTGTATGGAAGCCGGTTTTTCTATTCTAAAAATTGAATAGTTTTTTGGATCATTTTTGGAACTTTTACTGCCTTTATTTGATAGTGATAGCTGAAGAGTGACAGGAAAGTTGGGCGAGCAATAGGAGTTGACATGCAGCAAAGGGCCACAGGTTGGGCAGCTGCGGCAAGGACTCTGTCTTTGTTGATAGGGCACAAGTTCTACCAGATGAGCTACCAGGGCCTCTTTAAAGTAACATTTAACATAATTTTTACCGGACCTGTAGTGGCCGCTGTGTCCATGTGCACTGCCATATTTCTCAGTGCTATATCAAATAGGAGCTTAAACCAAGGTATCTTGGATGTTTTCTCCCTGCAGGGACTGGATACTCAACCATAGTGATCCAGCTGTATTCCAGAATCTACAATATTATCCTGGCCTGGGCCATCCTCTACTTTATCTACTGTTTCAGAGACCCTCTGCCATGGGCCACCTGCAACAATCCCTGGAATACAGGTCAGTATAGGCTGAGGAAGGCTGGATGTATACTGAATACTGTCGGATGAACATAAAGGCTGCAGCAGAACATGGTGAAACATTTACATAGTTTCTCCCATATTCTTGAAAGACTGAGCTGTATTCAAAAGGTGGAAATCTGCACTTTCACCACTAGATTCCACTAAATTCTACACACTTCCTTTAAGAAGTGAAAATAATACCCATATTATGACATACCGATGATCAATGAAGATTAAAACTTAAAAGCACAGTATGATGTCATTTCTGCCATTAAGGATCTTTCACATCAAAAAAATAATGTGTAGTGATGTAGTTTAACCCTCTATGGCATGGTGTTGCCCTCAGGCAACAAACCACTATTTTGGCCCACACACCCCCCCTTTAAATTTTAAAAAATAACTAATCAAATTAAAAGCTTGATGATAAGTCTGTGACCAATGAAATTTGAGGTGGGCGTCGGTTTGACCATTTGTCTGTGGCGGGAACAGTCCTTTTTGGAACCATCGCAGGCTTGGACACACTGCTAGCAGAAGGTAAGATAAATTTCACTTTTTAACATGTTTAAATTTGAATAACTTTGTATAAATAATATCTGTGATGTACATGAATATGTGAAGAAGCATATTTGATTGAGTAAAGACACTTTTTGTCTTTATTTATATAGTAAAATTGTAGTTTTTCCTTCGTTGCCTCAGGGCAACATTGTGCAGTTAGACCACTTTTGTTTGAAGAAAAACATTCTCATGGATGGAGATGTGCAGGGATGCATAGTTATTACCATGATCAATTTTTTTGCTTTACTATCTACTATTACTCACATGAAATGTATGCACAAACATTTTATGGGTGTAAGGAAGTTGATCGAGCAGTTAGGCTTATTCCTTCTGACAGTGAGGACAGCGAGCTTGAGGAGAGTGACAGTGAGGAAGAGTGGACCCAAGAATCAGGTTTGAGGGAGAATAAGGAGATCAGAATCAGTCAGTAGAGTAACATACTGTATGTAATGAACATGCATGTGCGTGTGCGTGCGTGTGCGTGCATGGGTGAAGAGAGGTATATGACCTATTCTAATTTTAATCTTCCCTTTTGGAACAGATGGTCTATCTCTTGACAAAGAGTCTGTGGATGAAGAGGAAAGATGAAGTTGATGATGATGCATCAGAGGAAGATGTTCCACACTTACCCCGGTGGAGAACACCCCACAGTGCCAATATCACTGATTACCTAGAATGTCATCCTTCCTGATTAGTACATGTCTCACTATTGGTCTTTATTTTATCTTTTTAATTTTGAGTGAATGACTAAGGCTCAGTGTGTTCCTCATAGTATAATACTTGTTGAAATTGTTGTTATTATTGAAATAAAACTTATTCTAATGTATTTATTGCTTGTTTGTTCCTCATTTTATCATTTTATGATTGATATATTATCAGGGACCCCCAAGCTCCCAAAAACAAGGGTGAAATATTTTTTTCCTCCTAAAATAAAAAATCATGCCATAGAGGGCTAATGATTTCAGTAGCACAGGATCGTGGGCACTGTTGACTTCATTGTTAAATAACCATCATCTGCAATGAAAATTAGATTATTATTATTCATGTTACGTTTAGTCACAATTGCTGACTTCCTTTCCTCACTCTTTGACTTATCCCGTATTCCCTGGAAGTTATAGCATCTAGAGGCAAGTAGGAAACGCACTGTTTCCTTGAATAAAGTTACAGATTTGTCTGGGTTTCAACATTGTTGGAAACATTTGGGGTAATGTAAGTACACAACTTGACAAAATGTTCCACATTATGAATTTAATCAGTGTGATCATCTTTCTTCCTATCAACAGACAGATGTGTGGACCTCACCTCTTTAAACAGGACGGCAATACACAGTGGCAACCTGACAGTAAACTGGACCTCTGGAAATCTTATCAAGTCTTCAATCTCTGAGTTCTGGGAGTGAGTCATGTTGTCACATCAATCTCACAGGACAGCAGCAATGGATGAATTATATAGTAAAGTAAAAACGTCTATTGTTAAAGGTCCTATAGAAGTCTGGATGCTAGAAAAAAAAAATTAAAAACATACCGCATAACACCAGCCAGCAAAGTAACCTGCAAACAGCAAGCCAGTCAATTTACCAGCTAGATCAGCCCTGGGAGTCTGCATGAAGCTAGCTGAGAGTAGCGAGCAATTTGTCCATGTTAGGAAGCAAGCTAAAACCACAATATCACAACATGGACTCGTTTACAGATTCCATTTATAAGGTAACGTTAGCTAGTGTTTAACACTGTTTACATTGTAGAACAGCGGAGAGAGAAAGCACTTCACATCCATACATGAAACCTTCACAAAGGAATCAGTCCAGCTATAATAGGGAACCGAGAATGTTGGGGAATGTTGCAACCCTTTCATAAATTGGCAACAGAAAGTGATCAATCTATAGTTAAGACGTAAATGGCTTCAGAATATTACATATGGCACCTTTAAATTTGTCAAGTCTTCATGTGTGTAACCATCACTGAGTGTCTGGTCTCCCCATACAGAAGAGGAGTGCTATCCATGTCTGGGGGAATTGCAGAGGTTGGTACAGTACAGTGGGATCTGCTGCTGTGTCTCTTGGCCTGCTGGGTGGTCTGCTACTTCTGCATCTGGAAAGGGGTCAGCTCCACAGGGAAGGTTTGTGAACATTGATGTGAGGATTTAGGGGACAAACCTGTCTCCTGTCTTATGCTCTCATTTTCTTTGACGAATGCATGTTGGACAAAATGTAATAGTGTTACACAACTGATTGTGTACAAAACACTGCAAACTGTGATATCTTTTGGGTCCAGGACGATGTCACCAGTTTGCCACTAGACTATTGATAATAACATCTGCATGTATGCCAGGTGCACCTTTGTTCTAAATTCTTGCCATTATATATATATATATATATATATATATATAAAATCATATATTACCTGAAGTTATCAACCGTTGCTCCGTGTTAGGGTGGCCATTTCTTTCACAGGACACTATGCATACACGGGGACACGCAAGCAGATATTTGTTTGGTATGGTACGGTTTTACATTTTAATGTTTTTCCACCAGATTACATAAAGGTGCATACACATACCACATAGCTAATAATAAATATACAAGATACAGCTCATGACAACGTGCCCTTCCAATGCAGATTACATAGGTCTAATAAACATCATACAGAAACTGTTCTTAATGTTTTTATCTGGATAGATAAAGCGTAAAAAAAATACAGCACCTTCTGTTTCAGATGTATAGGCTTTGCCGATACCCAGCCCTACTGGTAACACCTGTGTTAGATCACTTGCACCTAAAAAGGTAACAAAAAACCCTCATCTCTGGCAAGCAGAAAGCAATGTGGAGAAACAACCCAGTACAAAATCAGAAAAGAGAATGTCGGAAATGGAGAATAATTTGTCTTCAGATTCACGTTAACATTCAAAGAAAGTCCTTGTATTTACACATCTCATTCTTCCCATTGTGCCAACATGACAATAAAGAAGCATTAGCTTTTGATTTTGTTTCTGTTACTGCCAACATTGCAGAAGGACTGCTGCTCAAACATATAGCCTACAGCCCTGCTCGAAGGAGTAACATACACTAACAGGAGTCGAGAAGCAGTGTTTGAGTGACTGTATATGGCCAACCATATACTAAAAAACCACTGAAATTTCAGGTGGTGTATTTCACAACTTTGTTCCCCTATGTGATGCTGATCATCCTGCTGATCAGGGGGTTGACGCTGCCAGGAGCCTGGCAAGGTGTGGTCTACTACCTGTATCCAGAACCATCCCGCCTTGCAGACCCTCAGGTAAGACACCTTGGACAACCCTGTCTCCTGGGAATTACATTTGAATATTACTAAATTGGATTGGATAAATTGGATAAATTCATAATTATGTATGATATGGTCACCTGCCTGGATTATGTTCAGTAACAATGTTTATTTACATTTACTCTTTCGGGTGGATGGGGACGTACAACAGTCCAGGATTTGCGTCCAGACTCCTGTAACAACAGCACTTTGGTTAAGATCCTGATTTTGGTTAAGGTTAGGGAAAGATTGTGATTTTGGTCAAAATCTTTAATAATGCTCAAATCACTACAAATGAATAGTATTTCAATGATGCTTATTTTGGCAAAAAACAAATTAAATATAATATCAGTCAATATTTACTGATATGTTTCATATTAACATTTTTACAACTTGCCAGGTACGATAATTAACATTTGCTAATTATGTTAATAGAAAACATAATTCAGTCAGTATTTAATTTCCTTCAAAACATACTGTATTTTCTGTTAAAAACTAGTTATGTATAAACATTATTTATAGGGCTGTAACACACAGGGATTTTTATCTTTGTTTATCAGGTGTGGATGGAGGCTTGCACTCAGGTCCTCTTCTCCTATGGTGTGGCAGCAGGAGTCGTAACTACACTAGGCAGCTACAACAAAGTCAAGAACAACTGTTACAAGTACGCCATGTAATGAGTACTTCTGCTAACACATTGGGAAAATTGTGTTATTGAAGTTTTGCTAAACAAACTTTTTAATTTTTAATGTATCCCCACAATGTTGTGTTAGTACTGTCAATGACAGGTTGCCACGTGCTGCTCTGTATATGGGGTTGGTATGTTTTCCGACAAACATTTCTCAAGTCTTTTCTCTTGTGAAGCAAAACACACACTTTGAAAAGACTTCCTAAAAAGCATTTAGTTCTCACTTTTCAAAACTATTTTTGTCCCCTTGACTCCCTTTTTGTCCTCTTACTGCAGCCACCATAGTACACAAGAGAAGATCTGAGGCCTTACTGTATACTTAATCAGGAGTGTTTTCAAAAAGTATGCTTTGCTTTCACAAGAGAAAAGACAGTGCTGGGGTATATATGATTTTAGTAATTTCCCGGTCTGGATAAGTATGAAAAAAAGAGAACAGTATGGAAAAATATTTGTTTTTCCTGACTACTGCTAATATTCAGAATTTCTGTTTTGTTACAGTTGCTCAAGGTGCTCACAAGACGTTAAAGAAATAGAAATAATAAAAACTATATATATATATAGAAAATATAAAAGTATAAAAAATAGAAAGCTTAACAATAGGACATAAGGAACACAAAATTTCTATAAATTTCTGCAATTATGGATATTTTCAAAAAGTTTAGTAACATGTCTGGCTACAAAATTAATTTTAGTAAATCTGAAGCTATGCCACTGGGAGCCCTAAATGCTACATTTGTTCAGGAGAACTTCCCTTTCGGATGGTTGAGATCTGACTTTACGTATTTGGAGATAAAAGTGTCCTCAGACTTGAGGGATCTGTGAAGATTTAATTTTGCCCCAATCTGTACTTCAGTCAAGAGAGACCTGGAGCGATGGTAGAACTTACCCCTTTCCCTGTTTGGTCCAATCAGTCTCATTAAGATGAATATGCTACCTCGACTCTTATCCCCTATGTAAATGCTCCCCTTATATCTATCAAAGAAAATCAACCAACAAAATCAAAAATCAACTTAGAAAAGACATTTTCCAAATTTATTTGGCAAGGCAGAAAATGTAGGCAGAGGCTTAAGATATTACAATTACCTACAGACATGGGTGGTCTTTCTATGCCTAATATATTGTTTTATAACTGGGCCTGTCATGCACACCATTTCTAGCTTTGGTTACATTCATATGTTAAGAGAGAGACCTGTATTGATTCCTGGGCTTGCCACCCTTTCTTCCCATGGAGCTTAATCACATGTGAAACAAAGAAGATAAATCCAGAAGTAAAAGGCAATCTTATCATTTACATCAGTATCAGGATGTGGCATGATATATCTAAATACCTGGGAAGGAAAATGTGAAGTCTTTACTGTCTCCCATAACTCAAAATCCTGATTTTCCTGCAGGTGTCAGCTCACCCACATTCCTCTCTTGGAGGGACAAGGGAATTCATGTAATTGGCGATTTATTGAGAGATAATACCTTACGGTCCTTCAAGCAGCTACAGGAGACATTCAGTATTCCCAAGCACCATTTTTTTGTGGTATTAACAGATTAGGCACTTTGTGTCTTCACAGATCACCTCTTTCTCTAGCAACATCTCTTACAGTGGTGCTAAGAGATTTCTCCTAGAGCGCAAAAACAGAAAACATTTTATAGCATCATTTTACTCACTTCTTGGTTCTTACCATTTACCAGACATCTCTCATAGATGGGAAAAAGACTTGAATAATGAATATCTTGAGGATGATTGGCAGGCAACTATTCGCCTGATCAGGTCCACATCTACTTGTAACCGGTTGAGAGAAACTCAGTGCAAGATACTGCACAGGCTGCATATTACTCCTGTTATTTTAAACTAAATTGACCAATCCATTTCTCCTCTGTGTAACAAGTGCAACTTAGAAAGGGGGACGTATTTCCATTACTTTTGGGAATGTAAACTGATTTCCAGATTTTGGACACTGAAAATAATATACACAAACATATCTTCTAGGGTTAATTTTGAAGAGCAAACTTGAAATGTATGAAATCGGACAGCACAAAAACTGCAAATTCCGGTATATAATTTGCATTTTTTACAAAATAAATTAAAGAACTTGTTAACTTTCTGTATTAAACGAAAGATAAATATCACCCAATATAAAATTGGTCATTGCTTGAAATGAATATTTAGTCAAATTGATAAATACACCCCATGGACATGGTATGTACCCGGAATTATAGAATCACTCACATATGTAGGTTTATTTTCATATTTCATATTGGAGGACCATAGGTGACACTCCATAAATGTTTTTTGTTGTCCAGGGAGGAATGTACATTTTCGAGCTGATTGACTACTATGGTGCTAATGGAGTATGTATATTGTTCGTGTCCCTGGTCCAGTGTGTGGCTGCTGGCTGGGGCTTTGGTAAGTATATCATGTTTCAAGCCTCGTCAGTTTTCTCTTTTCCTGTACTTAGATATGCTATGTGCTAGGCTCATCTATGCTGAAAAGACAATTACATTTTGAAGATGGTTAAATGATAAAATGCCACATTATATCACATTTTAAGTTAGCTAGCTCATATTATCAAAACTTAAGCTAACTAGGTAACTCAAAATTGATGTAAATTTGCAAGCTAGTTTGATCCAAATTCCATATGTGCTAACCCTAGACCAAGGGTCAGTAACCTTTACTATCAAAAGAGACATTTTTTATTTATTTACATACATGTTTTTGTCAAAGCCACAGGGAGCCACTGGAGAGGGTCCCTCCCCCTATTTTTTTCCTTTCCCCTCCCCTAAACTTATTTTTTTTTTTTTTTTTTATATTTTTTAAAAAATTTTTTTAAAAAAACCTTTTAATTCCAGGTTGTTATAGGATTATTATTCTCCACTGAAACAGCCCTTCCTAAGCTTCCATTCTTGCAGCTGGGGATCTTATATTCTTTTTTAACCGTGTCAGAGGATCTTTGCTTTTCCCTTCGCTGTCGGTCCTGGTTGAATTATTAGTGTTTTATTGTCCATATACAACATGAACCTTTTTTGCAAACCTCAAATTACATATATTTGAAAGAGGACTCTCTACAACCTAGAACATGAAAAACATTAAAAATATAGAGTAGTCCTCTCAGACTAACTGCCTCTATGTCTTTAAAAAAAAAAATTTAAAAAGTAAAGTAAAAACCTTTTGAAAAAAAGGAAAAGAAAAAAAAAAAAAAAAGGTTAAAAAAAAAAAAATTAAAAAAAATTAAAAAAAAAAAAATGTTTCAACTGATGGAAAAGTAAAACTCCATTTTAATCATTTAACCGGCAGTATAATTTATTGATATAAGCGATGTGATGTTTATTGATGTACCAGTGTGTAAGATTTATTGGCAGCAGATTGCAACCATTTGAATACAGCTCAGCCTTCCAAGTGTGTAGGAGAAACTACGGTGGTTGTTAAACTTGCAAAAACCATAGGCCTTATCTAGAGCGAGTGTTTGTCTATTCTGGGCTACCCTAGAAACATGGTGGCTCAACATGGTGAATTCTGTAGAAGAGGACCCACTCCTTCTGTAGATTAAAAAAACGGCTCACACTAATGGAGACATATAACTATGAATATTATATTCCATTTCTGACAGTAGATCCTCCTAAATGTTACACACTGGACCTTTAATTGTTATACGTTTGACTGCCTTTAATGGACTTTTGTTGGTTTTGGGGCTTTATACAGCCCCGCCATATTTCAGTAAGTGGTTAAAGGCCACCATGCTTCTACTCCAGGAAGTCCTGTCCTTTAAGTTACTAATAAACCGTAATTATCATGCAGGGGGTGAACGAATATGTGGAAGGGGGGGGGTTTTTTTTATTTTTTGTGGGTGTTATTCCCCCCCCTGATCTGTGGTGGGTTAAAAAAAAAAAAAAAAAAAAAAAAAAAAAAAAAAAAAAAAAAAAAAAAATTATTTTTTTTCAAAAAAAAAAAAAAAAAAAAAATTTTTTTTTTTTTTTTTTTTTTTTTTTTTTTTTAAATTTTTTTTTTTTTTTAAAAAAATTTTTTTTTTTTTAATTTTTTTTTTTTTTTTTTTTTTTTTTTTTTATATATGTATTTTTTTTTTTTGTTTTTTTTTTAAAAAAAAAAAAAAAAAAAAAAAAAAAAAAAAAAAAAAAAGTTTTTTTAAAATAAAAAAAAAAAAAAAAAAAAAAAAAAAAAAAAATTAAAAAAAAAAATATTTTTTTTTAATTTTTATATATAGGGGGGGGGTGAGGGGTAATTTTAATGGGGGTTTCAGGCCTTGTTAAGGCCAGCTGCAGATGGGAAGAAACTGTTTTTGTGGCGTGAGGTTTTGGTACTACCCTCCTACCAGAGAGAAGTGTTTCAAAGAGTTTGTGTCCGAGGTGGGAGGGGTCAGCCACAATCTTGAGCTGATGTTCAGCTCCCACTTGAAGTCCTGGATAATGATGGTAACCAGGAAGCAGAAGGACTCCATATAGAGTCAAGGGGCGGGTGGGGCTGGGAAGTCCACAACCATCTCCACTGTTTTCAGAGTGTTTAGCTTCAGGTTGGGTGTTGAAGATGTCCGTGAACACCGGAGACAGCTGCTTCAGGGTGGATGATGGATAGAAAGAGTCTGGTCCGGCTGCTTTGCGGGGGTTCTGTCTCTTAAAGAGCCTGTTGACATCCCTCTCCTCAAGGCAGAGATTCGTCAGGACTGCTCCTTTGTCAGTCAAAGCAACAGTATAGTCGACAAATAGTAGCTCATTTGCTAGGCGCAAGTCGTTGATGGAGTGGGGGGTTTTAGGTTTGTAGTTGGTTATCTGTCTGAGCCCCTTCCATACATAACTAGAACTGAGAACTGGTGATTGAAGCTCAGAGTACTGCCGTTTAGCTTCTCTTACCCCTTCTAAACCTGTCCCTGTCCCCACTCCTGAACGCTTGTTCCCTCTGTAACCGTAACTGTCGGAGTTTGGCTGTGAACCAGGGTTTGTCATTGTTATAACTCACCCTGGTGCGTGATGGTACACGGCAGTCCT